ATTAATTTTGTGAATTGCAACTTGTAGAACCGAGAGGGGAGGAGTTGTAAAAATAATCGATTTCATAACCGAGAGGGGAGAAATTGATAGAACTTGGCTCGTTTAGAGTAGGCATGTTCGGAGACGTATTGTCTATGTGTTATTTGTTTCGTTAATTTGCTCGTTTATGTTTTTTCATATATTACGAGAGTTAGTATGGTTGAACCGCTAAATGAGTTAATTAGTCGAGCCTTTTAACGAGTTATTGATTGTCGTTAAATGAGTGTAAAACCGGAAGCGATTTATTCTCGATTCCCTAGCTTCTTTATCATAGTTCCATTTATATTTTTAGATAGATTATTATTTTATGTTATTTATTAGTTGCTATTTTAGTTAATAATCCATCCTATCACCTTGATTAGAATGTTTAGGTTTTATTTTCTTTTCTTGTAATTTCAACACCATTATTAAATTCCGAATAGTCTTCCTCGAGAGATCGACCCGGGAAACGAATCATTTGATTCGGTGCTCAGTAAAATAATTATAATTTGTACACAACAGAGGGCGATCAAAATTCGGTCACGAGCCTGGTATCTCTTGAATAGAGGGGACGATGGTGACGGAGTCGGGCACTAGATCTAATAACTAGTGAATCGTCGCCACCATCCGCCGGATTTTTTCGTTGAAGAAGAGGGATTTTTCGTTTTTGCCATTGAATTTTGTAATCGGCGAAACTGTCGAGAGGTTGGAGAAGATGAAGGGATACGTGAGTTGGTGGGGATGACTACCTTTACTTTTTAGTTCCACTTTTTTTGGCAAGTGGATAATTAATTGGACTTAATTATATCATTATCATTATTAAAAATGTTAATAACGGTTAAACATATTTTTAGGTATAATTGAAAATTTTTTAAGTGGTTTAGGTGATTTCCCAATAAAAAATAAAAGGGGTGCAAAAGTGTTAAATAGTTTCAGCATGACCGTATGGCATGCAATTTCCTCTTAGATTAATTGGGCTACAGATTAGTGGAATTAGGGTCAAAAGGAATTGGGGAATGCTAAGTCGGGCAAGGAATAAAACAAAAGAAATCATATAGTCACCAGACTTACACACGACAACGGGGGGAAATGAAAAAGAAAAAAACATAGTCCCAGGGACTTGGAGAGGGGAGAAGCCGACGGACGCCGAGGGAGGCTGCACCGGTACACAAAGAAGGATAATTTTAGTTTTCTCTTTTATTTCGTATTTATTATGTTTGACTAGTTTTTATTTTTAGTTCTAGGATGTAAAACCTTACGTACTTCTCTATGTTTATTATTAACTAGGGTGATTGATTATTTTGCTATTTAAATAGAATTGCTTGTGTTGCTTTATTTGATAAACCATGATGTATTTGATCTTATTAGACTGATCACCTGGATGGGTTTTGCATGTCTAATGCTAAAATTTAACCTTCAGTTCGAAATTTATGTTGAGTTTGATTCGTTAGTAGTAAACAATAGCCGAAAACTATTTGGAATAACGCAACCTAATTAAGTAAACCGAGAGTGTCTACTACTTAGACTAGCCTACTTTCCTAGATTCTAAAGTTGCTACTTCATTAAATCAAGAGTGTATTCTAGATTGTCTATTAGTTAGGTTTCACCGAAGAGCGTGTTTCAGCTAAATATACTGTAAAACAAAATTCGGGTAGCAGAACGTGTTGTTATCTATAGTGTTATTAATTTGATAAGAGTGAAACTTGATGTCACTATTAGTTGGACTAGTTGTGTGAGGGCAGAGACGAAATATGGAACTATAAATTTCTTTTAATTTATTTTATTTTATTTTCTTTGTTTAAATTATATTTGTTTCATTAGGTTTCAGTTAGTTTAGTTATTAAACCATAATTCTTTCTCTTTTATTGCTTTTATAATTTCAATTAACACGAGAAAATTTACAATTTGATTCGCACTCCTCATATGATCGACCCTTACTCGCCGCTAATACTAATTAGTGGAGGTTAGTCGAGAAAAATTATAAATTCTGATTTGTCGTGTTGCGACGTGCGGCCAATCATGTGTTTAGGTATATGTGCCTATGAAATACACATCATGGAAAAATGATTGTTATGTGATGAGTATTTTTTTATAAATGATGTGACATAATTTATTAGATGGTTGAACATGTCATATATTTTATTAGCATGTGCATAATCTAATTATCTCGCATGCACAATGACATAATGAAAAAGGAAAAAATATTTGTATTTGACACCTCCTACGCACTGAGGTCAAGTGCCCTGTGAGACATGCTTCAGGCGTGTGAGACTAATCGAACTTGACTCATTATATTATGATCATTGCTCCTTGAGAAAACGCTTCGGATGTGAGACGAATTCGGACTGATTCATTACAGTGCCCGTGAGACATTGCTTTAGGAATGCGAGACGAAACCGGATTAAAATGTCATGATTGTTGATGGTATTGAGCTCTTTCCGATGCTTAGTAGTGATGTCAAAACTCAAAAGGCCCAAACAAAGAAAACAATTTGAGAAGAAAATATTTAAAGCATGAGTTCAGTCGTGTGCATTTTCATTTCATGTTGAAATGCACAACGGGCTGATGTCGCTCTTTTTTGGCACGCATAACTTCTACTTATTGAGTTTTAGCACATGTAGTTTATGCATTATAGTGAGTCTGTTGAAATTTTACTGCTACCCGACCTGGTTGTTGGATCCAGTGAGTTTTAAACACGTGTACATAGATGACAACATGTTGGACAGAAGTTTGGTTATGTCCTTTTGTTCAGTTTTTTTTTTATTTTTTTATTTTTTTAAAAAAAAATTTAACTCTGTTGTTTGTAAAATTTTATAAATTATGTTGGAACCTTTGAGTGTATAAGAATGACTTTATCCTTGTTAACTTGTCAGTAAACCTTGTCTAGTGAGATGGATCAATTTTATTTTTAAAATAAAAAA